AAATGCCCTTATGATATTACTTACGACAAATACTTACTATTATCTAAAAATGATTTAAATTAAATATTTGTTTAGAGCGACCCCTATACAAAAACAGAGTAACCGTAAGAATTGAAATCAGTATTGTCGGCAGCAAATGTCAAGCGTGTAAAGCGAAATTTATCCCTTGAAAATGAACGAACAACCGCTTAAATTCGATATAGTGGCAATTATTTTCAGTTAAAGTAAAGAGAATGTTTTATGGGCACTCCACGCGAATTTTTAATGCAAAAGCATAGTATAAATAAATCTAGTTTACTGCCGGCCACAGTCTTATATATATATATATATATATATATATATATATATATATAATCAAAAGGTCAGTACGTTTATATATACAGTGTGTCCACGGATGGACTTCTTCTGCTTGTTATATAAATACCATTCACGATGAGAAACTTATATTTTGTTATACAGGGGGCGCAAAAAAATACAATTGTAGATTTTGCAAAATTAAAAATTTGTTAAGTATATTATTTTGAAGGTCTAATATGAAGAGCTTATAATGAGAAACCAAAAAGCCAAATAAAGTTTTTTCATGTGAGTTGTTGTTACTAAGATATTTGTTATTAAAAATAAAATCAATTCAGGTCCTAACTTGAGTGGTCTTATTATTTTGTAAAAATTGACTGCTATTTTATTTTGTGACTATAAATCAAGGACCTTGATTCAAGGTTGTTGCTTTCAACTGACATGTCTACAATGTCTACAATTATTTGTTAAAATTTGAAAACTAATATCTTAAATTTTAAATATCAAAAACTCATATGAAAAAACTTAATTTGACTTCTTCTTACCAGCTCTTTATATTAGCGCTTCAAAAAAAAATATTTAAAAATCTTTAAATTTTGAAAATTGGTATTTTTGCTCACCCTGTACAACTAAATAGATGTTTCTCAACGCGAATCGTATTTATATAACAAGCAAAAGAAATTATGAAAAATGACTTTCTCGAAAAATTGAAAATAAAGTATAGTTAAGTCCATCCGTGGACACACTGTATAAACTTTTTAAATATTAGGGTTAAGAAACTATTTAATACATTTTGTATTTGTGTATTAAGATAATTAAATTATCTTAATACACAATATATATAAATCATAATTTACAATAATAATTTTCACTTTTAGAAGACAACATGACAAGACAACAAGAAGGGCATTTTATTTTAACGATTTTATAACATTTGACAACCTAAATCATTGATTAAGGTTTACTACTCCTTCACTCAACGCTTAAACCTAACTTCACCCGTGACTAAAAACCTGTTGCTAACTTCAGCACGTGACTAAAGCGGCATAAAGCCATAGCTTGTCAATTTTTTTTTATTCGTGCAGGTGCAAAAATCCTCCTCTTCGACTCGGATTTTTGTTGCCACCAGCACTCATGCTTTTTGTTAAAATATTACTTAGCAACGTGTTTTTTCGATTTTTTTCGGAAAAATTAAATGCCCTTATGATATTACTTACGACAAATACTTACTATTATCTAAAAATGATTTAAATTAAATATTTGTTTAGAGCGACCCCTATACAAAAACAGAGTAACCGTAAGAATTGAAATCAGTATTGTCGGCAGCAAATGTCAAGCGTGTAAAGCGAAATTTATCCCTTGAAAATGAACGAACAACCGCTTAAATTCGATATAGTGGCAATTATTTTCAGTTAAAGTAAAGAGAATGTTTTATGGGCACTCCACGCGAATTTTTAATGCAAAAGCATAGTATAAATAAATCTAGTTTACTGCCGGCCACAGTCTTATATATATATATATATATATATATAATCAAAAGGTCAGTACGTTTATATATACAGTGTGTCCACGGATGGACTTCTTCTGCTTGTTATATAAATACCATTCACGATGAGAAACTTATATTTTGTTATACAGGGGGCGCAAAAAAATACAATTGTAGATTTTGCAAAATTAAAAATTTGTTAAGTATATTATTTTGAAGGTCTAATATGAAGAGCTTATAATGAGAAACCAAAAAGCCAAATAAAGTTTTTTCATGTGAGTTGTTGTTACTAAGATATTTGTTATTAAAAATAAAATCAATTCAGGTCCTAACTTGAGTGGTCTTATTATTTTGTAAAAATTGACTGCTATTTTATTTTGTGACTATAAATCAAGGACCTTGATTCAAGGTTGTTGCTTTCAACTGACATGTCTACAATGTCTACAATTATTTGTTAAAATTTGAAAACTAATATCTTAAATTTTAAATATCAAAAACTCATATGAAAAAACTTAATTTGACTTCTTCTTACCAGCTCTTTATATTAGCGCTTCAAAAAAAAATATTTAAAAATCTTTAAATTTTGAAAATTGGTATTTTTGCTCACCCTGTACAACTAAATAGATGTTTCTCAACGCGAATCGTATTTATATAACAAGCAAAAGAAATTATGAAAAATGACTTTCTCGAAAAATTGAAAATAAAGTATAGTTAAGTCCATCCGTGGACACACTGTATAAACTTTTTAAATATTAGGGTTAAGAAACTATTTAATACATTTTGTATTTGTGTATTAAGATAATTAAATTATCTTAATACACAATATATATAAATCATAATTTACAATAATAATTTTCACTTTTAGAAGACAACATGACAAGACAACAAGAAGGGCATTTTATTTTAACGATTTTATAACATTTGACAACCTAAATCATTGATTAAGGTTTACTACTCCTTCACTCAACGCTTAAACCTAACTTCACCCGTGACTAAAAACCTGTTGCTAACTTCAGCACGTGACTAAAGCGGCATAAAGCCATAGCTTGTCAATTTTTTTTTATTCCCTTACATTTTCTTTTACAATTCCCTTTAAAGGAACGAACAAAATTGGTATCAGCCTGTATGTGTGTGTCACGCTCTACATTTTTAAACAAGTTTAGTTCATGAAATTACAGAAAGAAGGTGTCGATTTATTATATTATATTATATTATTATAATTAAACTTAATTATGAATTAATGAATTAATGAGTCTTATACAGGCTGCACCAAGACTTTGTATTGTATATACAGAGTGTTTTTCCTAATATATGCGCAGGACTTCAGGATGTGATAGCTTAACCAAAAAGATGAAAAAAGTCGCTATTAACTTACCCTCTAAAATGCACAATTTTCGAGATACAGGGTGTTGAAATTTTAGAAAAAAAATCGTTTTTTTCGATTATCTCTGGAACCGTTTATCGTACAAAAAACATCTTTTGTAAGCATTTTTTACTCATAATAAGCTATGTTTTGTGCCAGAAAAATTTTTTTTTTACTCATAATTGGTGGAGATTTTGAAGGGGTAGCGGGTGTTTTTTTCCTCAACTCCTACGCCCCTGAAAAAAGTACGGTTTCGAGAGGCCCATTCGAACCGCCAATGTTTTCTACAGAAAAAAGGTACTCTTGGTCATAAGCTCTAAAGTTGACCGTTTTCGAGAAAAATCAACTTTTATGTTTAAAAACATGGTCAATTTTTTGGAAAATTTTTTTTATTAATAATTAAACAAAATTTATTTTAACGTTAGAAAAAGTAACAAAACCAAACGATAATTGCAAAATTAAAAAAAAAAATAAAAAATGATTTTTTACACAAATGCTGAAATGTGCGAAATGCGTTACGGTTTGGAGAATTTAGCAAAGACAACTTTTGAATCATTTTTTATTTTGCAATTATGGTTTGGTTTTGTTACTTGTTCTAATGTTAAAATAAATTTTGTTTAATTAGTAAAAAAAAATTATTTTTTTTTTAAATTGGCCATGTTTTTAAACATAAAAGTTGATTTTTCTCAAAAACGGTCAACTTTAGAGCTTATGACCAGGAGTACCTTTTTTGTGTAGAAAATATTGGCGGTTCGAATGGGCCTCTCAAAACCGTACTTTTTTCAGGGGCGTAGAAGTTGAGGAGAAAAACACCCGCTACCCCTTCAAAATCTCCACCAATTATGAGGAAAAAAATTTTTTTTCTAGCACAAAACATAGCTTATTTTGAGTAGAAAATGCTCACAAAAGCTGTTTTTTGTACGATAAACGGTTCCGGAGATATTCGAAAAAAAACGAATTTTTTTCTAAAATTTCAACACCCTGTATCTCGAAAATTGTGCATTTTAGAGCATAACTTAATAGCGACTTTTTTCATCTTTTTGGATGAGCTATCACATCCTGAAGTCCTGCGCATATATTATGAAACACCCTGTATATGAAAAGAAACAAGCTTTTCCCAAAATATTTGATAAAAACTAAAAACCTTTCAAAAATCGTTATAATATGTATGTTATTTCTAAGAATTTTGAAAATAAGTATACAATAATTTACATTTTCATCAAATTTTTTTGTCACTATATTTTGAGTTACCATCACCATCTTTCATCACAAATTGGATGAAAATGTAGATAACTATGTTTACACGTGAAACTTACTTTTTTCAAATATTTTGAGAACAACTGATTTTTTTCCATTTTAATGGACTTACGCAAATTTTGTCTAATTGAACCGACCTCTTCAAATAAAAAAGATATCCATATATAGAATGATACTAGGTGCACCCTGTATATTGGAATTGGCGTATAAAAAATTTACAATTTTTTTATTTTTAAAAAATTAAAAATAAAAATAAAAAAAGAATTTTACGTAGTTTTTAAAATGCAATTATATTTATATGCTTCCATTTAAAAAACCAAAGTTGATATCACTTATCATATCACACTGTATAATTCCAAGATTAGAAATAATATTATGTTTTTGTAAAACTCTATCTATTTTTCCTGCTTACAACCACAGCATAAACATAATTGTGTTTATGCTGTGTTACAACCCAGCTATTTTTTTTGTTGCTGTGTTATAAATCCCTATACTCTACACAAAGAAACAAACAATAAATCCCACTTTCAAAAAAGGTCATAACTTAGATCAAAACAAAATATTACCAGGTAGTAACTACCTGCTATAATAATCACTTACTTTGCTTCCATCGTTAAATCAAGTATGCTTCCGCCTGACGAGGACACTCCCCTCTCTATTATCATCATGGGCGGCATGTCCGTCTTGTAACCGCGGCAACAATACAAACATTCTATCATCACGCAGCTGCGCACAAACATTACGATCATGACCAAGGCCAAAATTCCGGCAAACGCGATCAACACGAAGAGAAAAATGGTCAGAGCCTCCTCGTTTTCCAGCAGCATTTCTTTGTTAAAGTCGTCATTGTCCAGGTCCACCGAATCAGTAGAAAAATCATTCGGCGGTGGCAAAATTGATGTGGATGTTGATCGGTCTGTAGTACTCGTAGTTGTGGTAAAAGTGACAGGTGGAGTTGGCTTGTTAGTTGTTGTAGTTCTCGTAATGAAACTAACAGGCAATCGTTTTTTAGTAACTGTAGTTGGCCTGTTAGTTGTAGTAACAGGTGATCTCTTTGTAGTTCTAGTTGGCCTGTTAGTGGTGGTGCGCACAGTAACAGGTGGTTTCTTTGTAGTGCTGGTTCTAAAACTAACAGGCAATCTTTTGGTTACTGTAGTTGGCCTGTTGGTTGTAGTAACAGGTGATCTCTTTGTAGTTGTAGTTGGCCTGTTAGTGGTGGTGCGCACAGTAACAGGTGATCTCTTTGTAGTTATAGTTGGCCTCTTAGTGGTGGTGCGCACAGTAACAGGTGATTTCTTTGTAGTGCTGGTAGTAAAACTAACAGGCAATCTCTTTGTGGTTACTGTAGTTGGCCTGTTGGTTGTAGTTTTGGGCAATAATTTTGTAGTAACTGCGGTTGGCCTGTTAGTTGTTGTGGTGGTAGCCAAAGTAAAAGGTATTTTCTTTGTGGTAACAGACAATAACTTTGTAGTAGCCACAGTAACCGGTAGTAATCTTGTAGTTGGTAGTCCCACCTGGTACCAAATTGGTACCAAAGGCTTCGGTTTACCAACTTTAGTGTCGATAAACTTGTCATTGCTGTAAACATAGTACTCGCCGTCCATTGTACATAAGCGCAACAAGTAGAGTTGCTTGTTTTGTAATTCTATAACAATAGGTTTTCTTAATAGAGAGAAGTTGGTGGTTTTGAATACGTTGTCGTCCCTCAGTTTGTAGTCGATTTGGTATACGCCAAAATTGGTATCGTACTACAAAAAAAAAAATTAATCAGTTTAGGTACACTGTTAAAAATTTCTTATACTGCCCAATTCTATATATATATTCGAGGTTTGTTCAGAAACTAACGGGAATTGTTAAATTTCGCGGGTTCGGAAGGTCCGGTTGTCATAAAATTTTCTTTATTACGTTGGTATACATGCCCCCGAAGTATGATAAAAACTTTAGCTGTTTTCATTGTTTACTTTGTCTGTGGCAGCCAGTGTTGCCAACCGTACCATAATTTTAAAGGTATGTACCTTCCATTTTTATAGCGTACCATAATACTATAATTGTACCATAATTTCTTTTTTTAGAATATTGTTTTAACATAATTTAAGTATTATAATTTTTAAGCACCGAAAATAAATTAGGCAACATTGCGAACAGCTATTAATGAAAATTAATGTTCTAGGTTAGCAGAAGTTATAACTGTTATGTTCTTTTCTATTCAAACTTTTGTTTTTCACCTCTGTGGTTTTTAAGAAAAGATTTTTTCGAGCGGTATAAAAATTTAAAAAAAAAATTGTATAAATTTTGACCCCTCAGAAAAAATGTGCAAATACATAACTAAAGATTCAATAATCAAGACTGATGAATGCGATATTATTTTTAATTAAAAGTGTTAATTTATTAAATTTGAAATAATTTATTATTTTTTTACCAAAGTTTATTTTTTTGTTTGTACCTAATTTATTTTTATCAAAGTTTGTGTTAAAATAATATTAAAGTGCCTAATTGTTTGAATTTTAAAGTCCTAAAATATACCATAACTTGTGCCATAATATTTGTTTGGTGCGTACCATAATGTACCATAATTTTTCTAAGTGTGTACCATAATTTTTATTTTGAGGTTGGCAACACTGGTGGCAGCCGCTAAGGTTAGACGTGTTTTAGAGGCTCGGCGATTTTTGTTCGTTAAAAGAAATGGATCAAAGAATTTGTATCAATTTTTGCTTAAAAAACGAAATAAATTCTGTGAAGTGTTAACAAAGGCCTATAGTGAGTCTGCTATAAGTAAAACAAGAGTTTACAAGTGGTATAAGAGTTTCCAAGATGGCCGTAAAGACGTTGAAAATGACGAACGCCCCGAACACACAAGCAAATTAACAACCGATAAAATCATGAAAAAAGTGGAAGAAATGGTTATAAACCATCAGAGAAGTCGCTGATGATGTTGGTATATCGATTGGCTCATCCCATGAAATTTTTTCGAATGTTTTGGGTATGAAACGCGTGACAGCAAAATTTGTTCCAAAATTGTTAAATTTTGAACAAAATTTTTGGCCAAAAACAATACTGTAATGATGCCCCAGCCTCCATATTCGCCTGACATGCCTGTGTCTGACTTTTCCCTATTCCCAAAAATAAAGAGAACCTTAAAGGGCCGTCGTTTTGCAAGCATAGATTACATTAAAAGCGCATCGCTGAAAGAACTAAAGGCTATCCCAAAGATCGAGTTTTAGAAGTGTTTCGAGTATTGGAAGAAGAGCTGGCATATGTGCATAATATCCAATGGGGACTATTTTGAAGGCGACAACATTAATGTAGACGAATAAATAAATATTTGTTTAAAAAAAAACGAAAATTCCCGATATTTTCTGAACACACCTCGTATGTATACTGTAGTACTATTGTATTTTTCCTTAACTTTTAACAAGTTGATCTTGTATATAAATTTACAAGTAAAATACTAGTAGGGCTGTATTTTTTCTAAACTTTGCAACAAAAATAATAAGAATACAATAATTAATACAATGTAATTATTACACTATGTAAATATCTTTTTTCAGTATAGTAATTGTAATTTTACTATACTTTTTAATAGTAAACATTAAGTAAATTTACTATTTTTTTTAACAGTGGAGCAAAAAACCTGCTGACCACTAGTGTAGTACAGTTAAGTATAAAACACGATTCACAAAAACCAAATTAAAATGTTACAAACAGTTTTGCATAGGCATACGCTATAAACGGGGTTTTGAAGTATAAGCCACGCAAGGGTGTTTTATACCAGGTTATTTATTATGTTTGTGTTATATTTGTTGGACTTAATAACTATTTAAAATATGCTATGTGCTGTAGCAGACAGCAGAAATATGGACAGAAACTCCAATACTCAACCCGAGTAAATAACTATTATTTTAAAAAGTTTTAAAATTTTTCTGCTTTATGTTTACTCTTCTCTTTTATAACCTCTATTAGGAAAAAAATGTTTTGTTATCCTTGGCCATATATAATCTACACAAAATTTGAAGAAAATCTAAGTCTGCCTTTAAAACAACTCTGTTTCTGACATTTTGTGTAAAAAAAATTAAACTTTAAATCATCATAACTTTGTTATCATTGGCATCTTTTTATTTTTGAAACGTCTGAAAAAATGTTTTCTATCATTAATGTTTGTTTTTGAGTTGAAAAATTAAATTTTAATTTTATTTTAGTATTTTGAAACTATTTATTTATATATATAAAATGCATTTTATATATATAAATAAATAGTTTCAAAATACTAAAATAAAATTAAAATTTAATTTTTGAATACTTTCAACTCAAAAACAAACATTGACAATTTTTTTTTACATAAAATAACCTGCCAACACATTTTGGAAAATAAATAATAAAAGTTTAATTTTTATTGAAAATTGGGAAATATTAAACCCACTAGGTTACTAATTTATGGTTATGCAACATGAAACCAACCATCACTGTAAAACTAATACAATAGCGTCCGAAAAATAATGTGGTCCCTTTATTATTGTAGGGTTAATCAACGTTTTAATTTTAATTCTAAATCGTTAATTTCGCACTAAATTGGTTTGTTCATAATTCACTAAATGAAACTGGTGATTATTGCCTATAGAGAGTTGCTGTATTTTGTTGTGATTTAGAAAGTTAAATATAATTTCGTTTTTTTATTTTGAGGGTTGGTACCTTGTTGCCTTGCACCATTCAAATATTAATAATAATAATAATGCTTTATTGAACTAAAACCAAGTTCAAAGGCTATTGACCGTAGTCCTTCAGCCGTTCAAATATTATAATAATTGTTTCATTAAAAAATAACTTTTTATTTTATGTTAAATTTTTGTGGTAGCTTTTATACATAATTATACATATTTCAACAAAATACAAAAACTTACTTTATCTGGAATTGTCTCAATTTCGATTACAGTGACATTATCATTTTTTTTCAGTATTTTCCAATCCCATTCCGGCTTGTATCCTGGCTCAGTAGTTTCTACAAAAGATATATATGTATATGTATATAAAAAAACATACTTTTTTCAAAATTCCCAAATATAACGGACTTTTAACGACTTTTGATTTTTAGTTTTTACTTAAATCTCAAAACCCAGTTCCAAATTACAAATTGGATAAAAATGTAGATAAATGTGTGTGTTTTGACAGGTTTTTAATTTTATCCAAATTATTTGGGAACCGCTGATTTTTTTCCAATATTTAAGTGTCATTTTAATACCCTTGTAATTACGTAATTTTTTTCTTCAAATAAAAAGGTTCCCATGAATAGAAAGATACACCCTGTATACTGAGCAGAAAATATTATACATTTTATGCTCGTTAATTTAAACTAAATATCTTTAGAAACCAAGAAGCTAGTATTAACGCAAACCTTTCTAAAATGCAAAATGACCATTGAATAAATACGTTTTCAACTCTGCGTGTACATATAGGCACAATCCACACAACAAGGTCTGTCTCGTACTAAAAATACAAAAAATCACTGGAACACTGTCCATTTTAACAGCGGCCATTTTTGTTGTTTACAATTTTTGTGCTTTGGGTTTGTGCTCTGTTTATAAAGATTAATAATCGTTTTAAACGTTGCGTTTCTCATAGTAAGCCTTAAGAGTCCTTAAAGTGCCAAAAACAATCATTTTACTCCTCTATTGTAAAAAATAAACTTTATTCTATCAGGGATGTCATAAAACTGTCAAATGTCAATTTTAAGGTTAAATTATAACCCACAAATTAACCTTCAAATTGTCATTTGACAGCCCTGATAGAATAAGGTATATTTATTATAAAAGAGGAGTAAAATGGTTGTCCTTGGCACTTAAAGGCCTTATTTGAGGCTTACAAGTGCCTCTGTAAGAAACACAACGTTTAAAACAATTATTAAACAGCACAAGAATTGTAAACAACAAAAATGGCCGCCGTTAAACTCTGTGCAGTGATTTTTAGTATTTATAGCATGAGATAGAACAGACCTTGTTGTGTGGATTGTGCATATAGGTAAAAAAATAAAAACTTTGTTTGCAACTTTTTGAATTAAATTGATTTTGTATGGATTGGCCCTTTACCAGTTTCTGTAGAAATGCCCATTATGGAAAATAAGTCAAATTTGACACCAGAAATATATGGCAATTTACTCAATTAAAATAAGCAATCTTTAGAAAATAGTACATTATTATACGAGAGATAATGCGCATAATCTCGAGTGTAATAATAGTATACTTTATCTACTCCAAAAAGAAGAAAATTAATTGATTTTCAAAAATAAATAAAATCTGACAACTGTCAAATGGTTAACCTTACTTTTTACCAATTTTAGTGGCCATCTACTAATTTAAAACCCGATTGGTTTAAATCACAGTGAATATTGAAATCGGCCAATCACTGATACCTAACAACGTGAATGAGTTCATTATTCCCGTTGTTAGGCTGGGAATTTATAGTGTTTATCATTATTTACGGGAAAAATCCAATATTATGCAATAGGAGTAGATACAATTTTTTATCTACAGTTGATTAAAAATATCAATTTTCCAAAGATTGTTTGTTACTTATTTTAATTTAGAAAATTACCATACTTTTCTGGTGTAAAATTTGGCTTCTAAATGATTTCATAAAATAATTCTTGTGTAAAGTTTGATATTTTCTTAATAACTTTTAGACAAAGCGGGATATGAAAAAAATTAAGGGGACAAAAATTTAGTAAATAGTTAATCCAAAGTTTTAAAATTTAGTAAATATCTAATCCCAAATAATCTAATTTACCGGCAGAGAATAAATCATGATAAGGAAAAATAATCCCCTGTACTATTTATTAGAAAAAAATATACTATATGTCAATAGCTAGAATAAAATTATGGAAAACGTGTAGCTACAACCGCATATTTCATCAGGGTTTCTCAAAAATTTTGAGTAAAAATCGCTGTAGATACGGAAATCGATACCTTAATATCTCTTAATATCATAAATTATAATTTTTTTCCATTGAATTCGTATACTGACGAATCCAGCAAAATAAAAAGTATATTGGACTTACTATTATGCGAAAAACTGGTTGACGGAACACTAAGCGCCTCTCCAAAGCTGTTAACTGATTGAACTTTGACCCGATAATTATAATAACTGGACTGGTTGGCGATAACAATGTGGTCAAGCAACCAATTGCCCACTATGACCTTTTTGTAAGTAAAACCCCTGTAACTCCTTCTGTAGTAAACGTGGTATCTAAAAAAAAAATGTACAAAATAAAACTAATAGTTTCAAAAACGAAAAAGTCCAAAAAACTTTTTGATGTGATCGATGTTTTTTAACAAAAAGCGATTTGATAGAAGCCCTAACCAGGTTTTGCATGTTTAAAACATGTTATAAACAAGATCTTTAAACCTCTAAATATATCGACGATCTGCTAAAAAAAAACAACATTTCATAAGTTATGTACTATGCTCCACACCTCAAAGTCCCAACACGTGATCACGTACGGAACGCAGTCTTTTGAAAATTGGGCATTTAAGGCTTTTCAGGTTATGTATCTGTCAAAGTATAGTCAACGAAAGAAATAAAATCTTAAAAATCTTTATAACATTAGAATAACAATGGATGGTTTAAGAATTTAAGAATATCAATACTGCATTTAATGAAATTCCAAAGTGTATGGTGCCAAATAAGTAATATTTTTGTGCATTTGGTCCAAATATCTGGTTTTCTCCATAAAATAATTTATACTAAACAGCATGTATTTAAAAAAATCTAGCTTCTCTATTATGGAATACGAATATCTGTATTAAAGGTAGGTTAATATATTATAACCAAAATATCATCTAATTTTGTAATGAGTATGAGTATAATAGTCCGGGAGGCAGTGAAGATTTTCGGTACTTATTTTCCCAGTTTGTGAATGTCATTAAGTTTGTTCAAATGGTGACACAAAACGACAATTTGGGTGTCTGGCTGAAATTTTCGGATGGGTTCACTAGATGAGCCAAAAAGTCAAGTCCACTTATTTTCCCAGTCATAAATATTTCACATTAATTAAAGTGAGTCATTTTATTAATGGAAATAACAGTCTGGCACATCCCAAGTGAAGGAAAGTCAGTCTGGCTGAAAATTTGCGGAAGCAAAAATTTGACCGGTTTTTGAAATACGTAGCCCTTATTTTCCCATGCTTAAAATTTAACCCATTATTTGGTACTGTCATAAACTATAATCAAAATTAAGTCTGGCTGATTTATGAAATTGGCAAATTGTTCTGGCGGCATCTTGAAAATCGTAAGAATTACAAAAAATTTGCTCTTATTTTCCCGGATTTGAAAATTTGTCACATGATAAATAATACTATAATTTCGTAGAAAATACACGTCTGGCTGTTATTTACAATCACGAAAGCCCCGCCAGACTGCGAAAATAAGGGCAATGATTTTGATAATTTTTCCATCTGCCAGACATATTACCCATACTCACAGTTTAGCCAGACTATTTTTTTTTCATAAGTTCAGTATATCTCTCACTAATGGAATTATTTTTATCACTGGAAAAAAAAGTGCAATATATTTGTACTTTATAACGCAATTTCCGCCTTAACCCATCCGAAAACCCCCGCCTAAATATATATAAATTTTGCTCAGAATAACAAACCCAATAATTGTATCGGTGTTTGCCGACTGGGAAAATAAGTACCGAAAATCTTCACTGCCTCCCGGTTGGACGAGTCTGGCAAGGCTTTCGGAGTGTTCCACATTAGCCAGACTATATTTGCAGCTGTAATTATAATATAAACTATCATCTCACAAAATTTTTAGGACTGCGAAAATAAGGGCAATGGTTTTGATAATTTTTCCACCTGCCAGACATATTACCCATACTCACAGATTAGCCAGACTATTTTTTTTCTTAAGTTCACTATATCTCTCACTAATGGAATTATTTTTATCACTGGAAAAAAAAGTGCAATATATTTGTACTTTATAACGCATTTTCCGCCTTAACCCATCGGAAAACCCCCCCCTAAATATATATAAATTTTGATCAGAATAACAAACCCAATAATTGTATCGGTGTTTGCCGACTGGGAAAATAAGTACCGAAAATCTTCACTGCCTCCCGGACTATAAGAGACGTATAACCAGCCCCATTTCCTCTTGACTCTCGAACCCCGTACAGGCCTATGTTTACTTACGCCGATTTTTGTTCTTCCCCAGCAACTTCGCGGCTTCACCCGTGTTTGCTGGGTGCGAATGTCCATTGCGTTTCGTACTGTCCCCTATTTGGAGCTCGAGAGCGAGAGGCGAATAGTTATAATAGCCATTCCCGGGTTCGCCGAGCCTATGCTATACGCTCAGTGGGGTATGGAGAAGGGACGGGAGGGTGTTGGTTTTTGGGGGACAATTACGCCGACTTAAAACTAAGTACGACGCGGAATCCCCCTAGACCAGTCGATTAATATTACTCCAAACATTTGGGATTACTATTTGGAGTTGGGGAGTTGTTATTGCAGCAGTGTGTAGTTACCCTGTCGAGGTCTTCGTCTTGTTCATTATTGTCATTATCCGTGTCGGATAGTTCCTGAACTTGGTAAAGTGTGTCGGTTGTTTTTTTTTATTTTGTTTTTATTGTTGCTAAGTTGCTCCCAACTGGTCTTGTTAATTTGTGAGAAGTGCATGTTTTGTTCTAACGTGTCATGAAATGTGAAGCATGGTCTCCCGACTTTTTTGTCTGTAAGGTCTAGTTTAAGGGTGGCTTGTAGTATGTTGTTGCGTTGTATACGTCTGAGGCGGCTAGTATTGTTTCCAGTCCGGCCCAGAAGCCGTAATTACCGTGGTCGTTTAGGTACGCATTAATTTGTCCTGTTTTGTCACTTATGTGTTCATAACGACTGCTTAGTTCATTTATTGCGTCCTCGATGTAGGGTCTGTACGTTCCTAGGTTATTACGTAAGTGGTTGTTTAATATTTGTCTAGTCTCTGCTGTTGTTTCAGTTTCGCGTAACGAACCTATCACCCTGTTAAACAGCTGATGTGCAATCGCTGCGATAAGGCAGTTCCCAGTGGGGGGTATTTTTTTACTTTTACTATGAAGTCAGGAGTGTTTACAAATTCCATGGAGTTTGATTATAGTGCTTTTTTTTTTGTTTATTTTTCTTAGTTTATGTTGTTTATGTCTTAAGTGTCAAATTTATTTGGTCTCGGTTTATTTTACTTGAATTGTTTTGTTGACAGCTTTATTGCCCTGTTCAACTTTGGTGCGTGTCCGCGATCGGCTGTTTGGTTTTTCTTGGAAAATTGACTTTTATTTATTTAATGCCGATGATTATTGTTTTTTTTAGTTAGGCAATGTGCCTTGTTTAGTTCAATTTGCAAATTATGTGTTAGGTCATGCGGAAGAATTGGAAATACTTAGCAAATATTTGCAGGTGGCCTGTTCCTCCCTTGTATGTCCTCTTTTGTTTGGCCTGTGGAGATCGACCTGTTGACCGATGGTGCGACCGCTCAGGCACTGACACTTGTCACTCGACACTTTCTTGTCACTCAACGCTTAAAACTTTTGACCGTTTCACTATGTTCGCCTGCACCTGTCACTTCACTCCTCCTTTTCACTTGGCCGTCAACTAATTATTGACCGTATTGTAGTCTGTACTCACAGTATTTTTTTTATACACTATAGTAGTTTGCACTATGAAGGTTTATTTGTTGGTTATGGTTTTATCGTTATATGTTTTACGTTTACTCTGCCTCTGCTGCGTCGACTTCTTCACTCGACGGCTGGGACGAGAATGATGATTCATCTAATTTTGTAATTTTAAGGTTAGAAAAATTTATTTTGACCAAAATAAATAAGTATTTTGGATTATTTAAAAGACTGTATAATATGGTATTTAAAAATGTGGTTTTTCTTATCCAGCCCAAAGTGTACCTACATAAAGTTTTGTCAATAAAAATAGTTAAAAAGCTTCGACTGAATTTGATCTACATCAAAAAATCATTATAACTTTAAAATTTTTAATAAATCACATGTCATGGGAGTATTAAATATTTTCACATAGCAAGTTTCTCCTCCAAATTGTTTGTTTTCTTATAATCTAACTTAAAGTAAGTATGCCGAGAGGTATACACAAGTTTTGCCGTTAGAAGTATAAAAGCTTCAATTTAATTTGAACTATATTCAACAATTATTTAGTATACCTAGATTTATTTATCGATGTGGCTCCCGTCCCGAGGCGGGACTTAAGTTCAGTCCCGATTGACGTTACACACTGTAAATCGGTTTTTATTCCCCGAGATTTTATAATTTGTGTCAAGCTCGATGGCTTAGATGGTAGGGCGGTCGCTTGGCATGCGAGAGGTACCGGGTTCGATCCCACTAGAAGTTGTCAAACTTTTTTTATTTTTTTTATTTTATAAATTTGTTGTTTCTTTGTTAAAAAGTGTTTTATTTTTATCGTAACATAAATTTGCCCATTTTAGTTGGGTTTTTTGCTCAATGGGGCGGGGGGGGGCCCAATGGGGCGGGGTCGGTTGGGTTGTGTTGTTGAGTTTGGGTTGGTTTGGTTTTATGACGTAACTAAAGTGCCCTTAACATGTATACAGGTACAATTTATTATTATTATTTTATTATAACATAACAAATCTTAAAATTATGACGTCAATCGGGACTGAACTTAAGTCCCGCCCCGGGACGGGAGCCACAGCGTTTATTTATGACCATATTAACACACTGTTTCAAATAATCCACTTATTTATTTTGGTCAAAATAGATTTTTCTAACCTTAAAATACAAAATTAGATGATATTTATGGTTCTAATACATTAACCTACCTTTGATACAGATATTCTTATTTCATAATAGAGAGGTTACATTTTTTTTTGATAAATGCTGTTTAGTTAAAACTATTTTATGCAGAAATGTAGACCCAATGCACAAAAATATCACTTATATTGCACCTTACACTTTGGAATTTCATTAAATGCAGTATTTATATTCCTAAATTCTTAAACCAACCATTGTTATTGTGATACTATAAAGATTTATTAACTTTTAACGCTTAAACATAAGCGGTAACACTATAAATATTATTTCTTTCATTGACTATACTTTGACAGATATATAACCTGAAAAGCCTTAAATGCCAAATTTTCAAAAGACTACGTTCCGTACGTGGTCAAGTGGTGGGACTTTGAGGTGTGGAGCATAGTACAAATATAGCCTTATAATACTTTACAATTTGCAGAAGTGAATTTTGGTCGTTGCTTGAATAATTACTACAATATTGTGTTATTTTTGACGGCAGTATTTAACACTAATGTAAATACAGTTCTTTCATTTTTACAAAAATACTTTTTTAGTAATTGTTGTAAAAAAACTCTACAAATTGTTTTCATCTTGTACCATAAATTATAAAATTTTTAAACACACAATTACCTATAACATTTTCTGGACCCAGGTTATAGTAACAAACGCCACAATTACATATAAAAATATGTGTAGCAACCACAACTTGCTGGTCTAGGTGTTGTAAGTTATAGTAATAAATTTGTTTCAATTTTGATTGAATGTGTATTACAATTTGTTATTATCCGTATTTTCAACACAATTTGGAGAGACAAACTATATTAAGAACTGAATTTCCAAGTATCTGGAAGTTAACTCGTGTGACACCTGTGTTTAAATCTGGTGAAGCTGCGAACATTGCTAATTACAGACCAATAGCAATATTGTCCAATTTTGCGAAGGTCTTTGAGATCTGTTTATATAGCCGCATCTGCTCTTTGCTGTCATTATGTATTACTCCCCAACAACATGGTTTTATGAGTAATAGATCTACACCAACAAACTTAACTGTTTTCTCATAGTTTATTGCTGATACTATTGATAATCGTGGGCAGGTGGATGTTGTGTACACGGATTTCTCGAAGGCCTTTGACACAATTGTACATAATATTTTGATTAACAAACTTGGTTCATTTAGACTTTCAGATTCGTTGATTAAATAATAGCTTCATATTTGAATAATCGTAAATTATATATTTCGTATCAAGGGTTTAAATAAAAATATTTTGTAGCTACCTCGGGAGTACCCCAGGGGTCAAACTTGGGACCGCTATTATTTAATCTCTTTATCAATGACCTTGTTTCTTCACTAAAAACTCAAAAATTACTTTTCGCTTTAGTTCGTTCTAAACTTGAATATTGCTCAAATATTTGGTATCCTTATTATCAGAATCACTGCAAATCACTTAAAGCAATTCAACGTCGATTTTTGAAAATGTTATATATTAAAAAACACAATACTTATCCAGAGAGGGGATATGAACACAATCTGTTATTGAAGGAATTTAATATTTCAGCACTAGATGTTAGGAGGAATATATTTTCAATTAAATTTTTGTACAAACTTGTCCATAATAAGATTGACTGTCCAGATCTGCTTGAGCGGTTGAATTTTCATGTTCCGCGTATTCATTCTAGGTCAGTTTCAACCTTTAAATGTTTTGCTCGTACAAATGTACTTTTGCGGTCGCCAATGTTTGTTATTTGTACCAACTTTAATAAAATATCTCACGTGTGTGATATTAACTATTCTGAATTGTCGTTTATTATTTGTACTTTTTTAAGCATTAATTATTTTATTTTTGTTTATAGACTTATTTTATTAATGTATAAGTTATTTTATCTCCACGTGGTCTATAATTTAAACTTTATTGTTGTAAACATTCGATAAAAAAATACCTTGTTATGGCCTAGGCCGATAAAAATTTTTATGAGGCAAGTAATTAGTTCGATTTTTTCTCGCTAGGGGTATTGTTTTAACAAATTAATCCTTTTCTAAGAAATTAACGTACTAAACTGGTTTAATTTATTTATAATAAGCACTAATTTGTTTGTTTTACTGTTAATGTTTAATATTTTTCAATAAATTATTGTAAAATTAAATATGAATAATAAAACAAAAAGTGAGGTTAGGCAAGCAAGAAAACGCACGATTTTTTTCTACGATTTAAATTATCTTTAAGTTTTAATTTGCTTTAAGTTTTTAGTGAAATTAAATGTTAAACACAGCTTAAACATTCCAAACTACCTATTTTTTAAATAAAAATCCAAACGAATTGAAATTAGATACCTAACTATTTATTAAACAATTAATTGAATTCAATGTAATAGCAAAAATCAATTTCTACTTAAATCATGGAGCTAGGTATTGTCAAACTATTACTGCTTTTAAAAGCAATAATAATTATTGTACATTTAATGTAATAAATAAATGAGATTCTAAAAAAGTGAGGTTAGGCCGCTTTGATGTTGAATTAAATTGACCTATATAAAGTGCTTTGAAGATAAAATGTTGTATGCCATTCGGCCAAGAAGTGCCTTTTTGTGCTTCGCTCAATTGTAACAAACCTTGAACTTAGCACAAAAAGCCTTACTTCTTAACCTAATGACATAAATAACTATTATATTTTTGCTATTATGCCGTTACTATAGTTTTATTTTTTGTTCTTTGTCCTGTAATTAAATTTTTTTCTGTTGGGCAAATAAATTTATTATTATTATTATTAACTTGATTTTAATAAGTTTGCAAAATAAGAGCACTATAGTTTTTAATCTTAAATTTCCTTACGTTAATTTTTATCATGGTTGTTTAAATGTCAGTAATTTTTGGTAGCATTAAAATTTTTTGTTCATTCTGATATTTATGACTAAAAATTTTATATAAAAATTAGACAATGATCCACGGACTTAGCCACTGTGTTCCTGAGAAAAAAAAGTATTATCATTGTTTGTTAAAAACAATGGTATTTATCAAGTACGAGGAATTTTAATTGTTAACTTAAATAATATATATAATATAATACAATATAAATTAGACGTCACAATAGTAAAAATTATTTTACTAATAAACCTAAAAAAATAGGGTAAACTTACCTTAATGCGGGAGCAGCTTGGTCGATCGGTTTTAAGGCGTTCCAACGTATAATCAATTTGTTCATTTCAGCAACCACGGTGACGTTTTCGGGATTTTTCGGGGGACCTCTGGGGGAATAGCAATCTTTTCGTGTAGGCAGGGAGGGCTCAGAACTACCAACGTTATTAACGGCTATTATCCTAAAAAATATATAAAATAGTATACAGGGTGTTTCTTTTAACTTGAGACAGCTCAATATCTCGAGAAATACGCATTTCACGGAAAAATGTCTTAAATAAAAGGTTAATGTGACTAAAGGGGACATCATTTGGTGCTACCGCTAGCCACCCCCTACCCCTCCTTAAGGGTGAAACGGGGGTAACTTTGGAAAGTCAAATGGAATGACCCGATTTTTTTCACACAGTTTGGTAGTACATAAAAAAATAAATAACTTTTATTTAAAACTTTTTTCAATTTATCAACAGATGGCGCTGTAATTCAAAATTTAAGAAAAATGAGTTTCCTTGTAAAATGTATTATTTGAAACGTTTGAAAAACAAAAATTAACATTAACAACAATAGTCGGCTATGAAAACAATGTATAACAAATGTTCGAAATGTCGTCATTCCATTTTAACACATTTTTGAATGTGGGTAATGAATTCTGGCACACAACGCGCCAACATGTCGGGCGGTATCGCCGCACAGACGTTCCTGATCCGCTCCACCATGTCCTCCCAAGTTGTAGGAATTGCAGCGTAAACTTTTTCTTTCAAGTAACCCCACTGGAAGTAGTCTGGTGGCGTAAGATCAGGTGATCGAGCAGGCCAAATTACTGGACCACGTCTACCGATCCACCGCGGTGCACCGGCCATTGAACTCCCGATCCAACACCTCTCGAGCAATTGCCGAATAATGTGCAGGACAACCATCTAGCTGGTACCACATGTTTTGGAGCCGTGCTAGTGGTACATCCTCCAAAAGGTCCGTCAGATCGTTTTCTAGAAAATTCCGGTACTTTTCGCCATTTAATGCACCGTCAATAAAGAAGGGTCCGATTAATCGTTCGTTTAAGGTACCGCACCAAACGTTTACCGACCAGGGACGCTGGTGCTCCACTTGGTGTCGAAATGGAAGGACGACATTTCGAACATTTGTTATAAATTGTTTTCAGAGCCGACTATTGTTGATTTAATGTTAATTTTTGTTTTTCAAACGTTTCAAATAATACATTTTACAAGGAAACCCCTTTTTCTTAAATTTTGAATTACAGCGCCATCTGTTGATAAATTGAAAAAAAACTTTCAAATAAAAGTTATTCATTTTTTTATGTACTACCAAAATCTGTGAAAAAAATCGGGTCATCCCTTTTGACTTTCCAAAGTTACCCCCCGTTTCACACTTAAGGAGGGGTCTTAAGTTAAAAGAAACACCCTGTATTATGTATCAAGTTTGATAAACGCAATTTTAGTCACGAATTTAATTTAGGCACGAGCAAGATTGCGAGCGAGTGCTTAATTAAATGAGTGCCTAGAAAAGTTTGTAAACGAGTTGCTTACTTTTTCTACGACAAATACTTAATATTAGCTAAAAAATGATTTAAATTAAATATTTGTATAGAGCGACGTCTATTCGAAAATTAAGTAACCATCCAAATAAACATTTTTGACGTAATTTTCACCATTAACATTGCCCGTTATTATTTTAATTAACCTTAACAACTATTATAATTATAATTATTATAAGTAGCTACTTAGTACCTACGTAGGTATTGATACTTTAAAATATTAAAATAACTTCAAAATATACATTATCATATTAGGAAATATGTTATCCTTTGATTTTTACTATAATTCTTAAATATTATGACAAAGTATTAAAAATTTCTACACGGGAAATGTTAAAGGTACAAAAAGTGACAGTTGTATTTATTGGAAATCTTGTTGGAATCTCTAACTTGGGAAACTACCGGCGCACATAGGGGTATTTACTTTAAAAAGCTGGCCAAAAGTCAATTTTGTAGAATAAGTCGCATAATACAAATTTTATTTACATTGGATAGCTAAATGAATGGAAAACAATGTTTTAAAGTTTTTTGCACTCCTGCACTACCAGGAAGCCGCCTGCTTAGGCGGAATTCGGGTTCCACGAATATTTATTAAATTCAACAATTCTTTGAAATAATACTAATCAGTCTAAAGTCGTGCAATGTCAGGTATGTACAACGTATTTTATTACTTGGTAAACTAAGTTTTATTATAAAAAAACGCTTTTAATAAATATGACATATTGTTTTTTTACATTAAAATATAAAATATTTGGAGTTTTTAAAATACTCCCGGTTTTCATTTAATTATTATTTCACAAAGGATTTAACTAAATATTAGTAAAATAATTGGTTCAGGATTTGTCTGGATTACTGTGTTAAGATATAGGCACGTACAATGCTTATTCTTAACTTAAATTACAAAAAATTTGTAGAGAACAAATAATAAAATAATATAAAACTTTTTAAATATTAAATTTTCACTTATACAGGGTTTAATTTTTTAATTTTTTGTATTCTACTTACTAAATATTAGGTAAATTTTGTTAATTTATGTAATAAGAAAAAATATAATACCCTCTGAGTCTCTTTAAAATAAACTAATCTACAAGTTTGTATGTTTGTAAGTTTATTTTACAAAATATTATACAGGGTGTGTTTTTTAACGCGTAGAAAAAGGCGAGTTCAAAAAATAAAAAGTCTGTATTTTTACATAAATTACAAAATGTATGTCCTAAATGACATAAGATGCTATAACATAGAATGTTATACGATTTTAAACTGTTATAACTTGAACAATAATTTTGGCCAACTTTTTAGTAGTAATACCTCTATGTGCGGCCTTAAAATCTTAAATTTGTCTGTGTAAATAAAAATGTATTCCTTAAAAATAGACTAACAATCGATATAGAGGCAGTTTTTCACAGTAAAATAGAAGAGAATGTTTTATGGGCACTGTACGCAAAATTTTAACGCTTTATCAGTTAAATCTAGTTAAGTGCACTACTACGGTGAAATCAAAAGGTCAAATATTGGCGTCAAGAAACTATTTAATAATGTTGTATTTTTGTATTAAAATAATAAAATAATTTTCACATGTAGTATTATTTTACAAGAAAGGCACTTTATTCTAACAATTGTATGAACAACTGTCAACTAACTTCAGCCCGTAATTTCCCAAGTATAATATATTTGGGTGGCATTTTGTTAAATTAAATAAATATTTTATAAAATTATTGAGATTAATTTGGGAAAGTTACATTTTTTTGTTTTTAAAAATAGTATCAAGCCATTTAAAATAAAAACACATATAAAACATTTCCTACCAAAATAGTTTAAAAAGTTAAATTTTTGTAAACTCAAAACTATTGATTATAATCAAAAAATATTTTAAATATAAAATGCAACTGTAAAAGTTTAAGTTTAAAAATATTAATTTTTAAAAAATGGAATTTTAATATTTTATTCTTCAAAATTATTGGTTTGACTTTGTAAAGAGTCATTTAAATGATAGTCGATAAATTTTCAATACAAAAATTTGAACATTACATTTAAATTTTAGTTTTAAATTTTAAAGTGGTAATTTTTGCATTAAATGACAAATTTAAACCAATAACTTTTATTTTTAACAATTTTAAATTGATACATTTTTAAGACAAAATTTATAACTTTACACTTAAATGTAAGTCGATAATTTTTAAATTACAAAGTGTAAACGTAGCTTTAGTAGAAGGCACAAGATGCAGCCAGTTTGATCCGCAGTGTTGCCAAAGCGTGCTTGCTCCATAAACATTTGACGCGTTTTACAAATTATCGTAATGAAAGTTTCTTTATTACATAAATTTAATAATAGAACAACAACATTGTACCTACTAAGTTAATTCGACAATTAAAAAACATCAACGGATCGAACTGGCTGCATCGTGGCTCCTTGTGCCTTAAATGTAAAGTTATAAATTTTGTCTTAAAAATATATCACTTTAACATTGTTAAAAATAAAAAAAATGGTTTAAATTTGTAAAGAGTCATTTAAATGATAGTCGATAAATTTTAAATCCAAAAATTACTAATTTAAAAATTACATTTAATGTAATGTGAGAATTTTTGTATTAAAAATTTATCAACTATCATTAAAATTTAAACCAATAATTTTGTAGAATAAAATATTACAACCAAAACTTTTAAACATAAATTTTTACTGTTGCATTTTGTATTTAAAATATTTGTTGACTATCAATTGTTTTAAGTTTAAAAAAATTTAACTTTATAAATTTCTGTTAAAACTAAACTTTTATCTAATAAATGCTAAAACGGCGTGCCATACTTAGGTCCAAAAACCACCCAAGAATGCTTTATATCATATTATACCTAAAATTGTAGGTGGCCCAGGGTTTCATCGTCACCAGCCATTGATTCATGTGCCCGGGAACGAAATTCACCATGGTGTGCCATTGGTCGGGGTCGTAGCTCGTGTTGTATTGGATTATGTATTTTACCATCCTTTTATCGTCGTCGCCATTTTTCCAATGGAGAGTGGCAGTGTGCATCCTGCACTGCAATCCCTTTATCGTGCATCGATTGGGCACCTTTGCCTCTGGACCATAAGTGGCATCCATGACTAAGTAAAAAAAATGCCAATTTAGGTGAGTTTAAAAACAAATTTTTAGGATTTAAATTTAATTTTGGGACTCACTACATGCCCAAGATTCAAAAATGATAGCCATTTTAGTTGAACATACTCAGAAGGTACAACGTTTAATATACAAGGTAAGTAAAATTAAAGTGAAAAGCTTGACAATGGGTCATAAGTATATGGGTGAATCTCACGAAATTTCCCCCGATGTATGTGTACCCTGTGATATTTAATAAAACTAAATGAGTTTAACCTACACTTTTATTGTGTTTTGATCTTTTATAATTAAGCAGATATTACAGCTCAGGTTCCAGATTTTTAACCGCAATTAATTATTTTTTACAATGTTTTAAAAGTCTAAAACCTATCCTCCGTGACTGTTATTCTTTCTAGGTTAACCTATATGTTTTCAAATATCTGTGGTAGTAAAAGCATACTAAAAATATCAGTTCACTAAGTAAATTAAACACTTCCAAAGCAATCGAATCAAATATAAATTATTAAAAATTTAAAGAAATAATTTTTATAACCATTTATGAAGGTGTTACAAAAATTGATTCTATCCTCCGTGAATCTGTTTTTGCTTTAAATTTTATGCAACGGATGGCGCTTTAATCATTTTAAATAAGCAAAAACCTCTGTTTACGACATTATAGATGCATGTGATTTCTGAAGGTCAGTTAGAATTTATATGCAGATGAGAGTGTTGCTGTTTTATAGTTCAAAAGTTTAAGTTCATTAATTTGCTATTTAAAAATCCACCCTGAAATGTAATCTCTCAGTAAGTAAATTTTTTTATAAATATTTTATGTATGTACTATTGTATTTTTAAAAAATATTAAGGTGTCAAAAGACTTATTTCAAACATACAAAGGGATGTTTTAAAAAAACATACGAAATCCTAACCTCCGTGAAGCTATCTTCCGTGAAGCTCTAATATTCAAAATGTATGATTTCTTAAAATTCTTGCATTAGAACCACTTATGTTATGCTAGAACTGGTGGCTTCCCAAAAACCTCATTCTAGACTAACTGTGAAACAACCATATATTATCATAGTTGTAATCATGTGATTTGCACCAGCAGAATATAATTCATGGTTTTATAACTTTTTGGTGTATCAGTTTGGTATCTGAAATGTTATGACCACTTTTTACACCACTTTAAAGTTGTCTAAACTTTAAGTGGATTATGAGTAGTAACGGCCACCAAACCACATCACTTAAATATTATTGGAAGTGGTAGTAGTAGTAAACTTTTCCCAACCTTGAATGTGACAGAACTGGATTTTATAATTGCGGTGGTCACACAGTAAAAAATCGACTTGAGTAAATCGCCAAAAATCATTGAGTTAATGCGTTGCTGAGTGAAATTTTGAGTAATTTTGTAAATATTATTCTAATTTGTGTATATTTAACTAAAACATTATCTAAGTTACACTTTTTTGTGAAATTGCAATTAAAATTGTGTAATTTTACTAAATATTTGGTTAAACATAAGTAATTACTCATATTTGGGTAATAAAAACTCTAGAAAGTGAAGATATATTTCTTTCGGTTGAATTCGCGTCTTTCACCTCTTAGTTGCCTGTTGATCTGACGCGTTGCATATTCCTTTAGGATTTGTTTTGGTTAATTAGAGTACGAATATAGGTAAGTTATTCCTGTAATATTATATCCTTATATATATAAGACTTATCGTATAAGTAATAATATATTGTATATAAAGTATCGAAAACGTTGAATTTAAAGTGGCATATTTAGGGGGGGGGGGGAAATATGGAGTCGGCGTTCGAAAGATGAGCTCAATTATTCGAACATTATTGACTTTAACTTAATTATTACTTTAAGTTTTGATCTTGCTTTAAGTTGTTTGTTTTAGGAGCCATATGCAGCTTATCAGTCATACAATACAACTAAACATTATATTATTCTAAAATACGAGTTTTGTTAATATCTTATCCTATTTTATCATATGGGACATTTTTTATAATATTTATTAAGTATTATTTGTTTTGTATTTAAAAGTATATTTATTTTATTTTGTTGGGATCTTTTGCTATTTTGTCATTGGCCATTTTTTAAATGTATACATTTGTTTTGTATTTAAAAGAAAATTTAATTGATAATTTACTATTTTTATACATAATTAAGCTACTCTTTTTAAAAATAATGTACGTTTTTTGAAATAAAGTTTTGGTTTTATGATGAGTGTAATTTTATAAATTTACCTGCATTAATTAATAATGAGTAGAATTAACACTATTTAGTGAAAACAAGTCACTAAAGTGTGTTAAAATTAAATCAAAATAAGTTCAAAGTTACTTAAAAATATGTAAATTTTTACACAATTTTTCGACATAAATCACTTTTTTGAGTTAAAATTCACTCAAAATGTATTAATATATTTAACTCAAAAAAAGGTAAATGTTACTAAAAAAAATGAGTTAATTTTTTACACAATCCGGTGAGGACTCGTTTTGACAACACTTTGAGTTAATTTTGAGTTAAAATCCACTCAAAATTTTTTAGTGTGCATTGCCACGTTCTTGCTACATGTTTAAGTAATTTCCACGTTTCTCATAGGATTACCACTTTAAAGTTCCCTTCTTTAAAAGCAAAAATGTTATTTTTAAGTCTTCGGATTATTTCAATTCTAGTTATTATTGTAATCTGTATCTTTATATTATAATAATTTTAGTATTCAGTGTCAGTTAAATGTCTAGTTTTAGAGAAAGCAAAGATAATAAGATAAATATTATGCTGGGGAATGTTTTACTAGGTTTATTAATTTAATGGAGTTGAAGGTTTTATAAGTATATAAGCATACCTACTACAAAAAAGGTTTTAAAAAGTAGTAGAAGTTTAATTTTTACTTTCATAAAAGTGGTATTTTTATAAGTCAACATTTTTGTGACAAAAAATAATCAAAAAAAAAATAGCTTCATTAATATAAACAATCACAGGGTTCCCACCAAGAATATAATTTCAATTTCCATGACTTCCATGACCAACAAAATTGACACTGGAGGAAACGATTTTTTTTATTAAAATAAACAAAATAAAAATTCTAATAAAAACAAAAAAATTAAATAGTCTGCTAAATCTTATTTATCATTTTTTTCACTGATTATTTAAAATGAAATAGTGAAAAAATGTACCTACCTACTTTCAAAAAAATTTAAATACCAATCAATTGTAAATTTTATTACCAAGGAGCTTAACCAAAATAGAATTTGCTGCTTAAAATATTACCTGACATACATATAAAAACAACAAAGGAATTAGGGTGGCATGGCCATGCCTGTAAACAAAGGAAGACCACCTGCTATTCTTACTTAAAGGCTTATTCTCAGTTTTAAATTTGTGGCCTAAAGAAGTGGTTGTGTGTTAAAACAAGTGTACCAAATGATTTTGTTTATTATTATTTATTGAAATTTAAAGTGTGTGATACCAATATTGTAAGAGTGTGAAAACAAAAAGGCTTTATTCGGTTTCGGGTAAGTTATAATATTAATTAATTAAAAACCGTTCAAAAATTGTTTTAAAAACGATGAAGATGTATAAAGTTTTTATTTAAATATTTAGAAATTAATGCAACAAGCTAAAGTTAAATATTAAGGGGGTTGTGTAAAAAACACAGGGAATTTTTTTATTTTTAATAAAGAAATATTAGAAAGTTGAATAGAACTAGATTAGCGACGGCAAAAGCCGAGACTTGATTTTAACTACCTTACAAGAACTTTTTACACTTTTAACGTACATTTTTTACAGGTGAAAATGTTTTTTAATTAAATATTTTTATTTGTGCTTTCATTTTCAAATTATCAATCTTTTTGTTTTTACATTAACTTTTTTATCGCCGTTATTTACAGTGCGATTTCAACCGAATTTGTTTTAAAGTGTATATCTATAGATCTTGATAAACTGTATTTTTGGAGCAAAAACACCATATTTTTACAAAATACAAGGCCTACAGTTTTTCTAAGTAAATTTTTAAGTATTTATTTAGCAATTTAAAAAAATATATATGCACGGCACTGGATTCACCACTCCTCAAAGTGACCCTTTACTAAATTTTATTGAAACATTTTAAGTAGGAACGTAGCTAAAAAAATTCACAATAATTACTATTTACAAAAATTTATTCTGTCAAGTTATCCATGAAAAAACATTGAAATAAAATTAAACTAATAGTAACATGTTATAAATAATCTTATGCTTATTTTGAACGAATAAAAACGCGATATTACACAACAATAAAAAGAAGAGAATTCCAAAAAATCTCTACAATTAGATTTTCTTGTGCAGTAGAGGTGGCAAAAATCTAATTGTAGATTGAATGTGAATTGAGTGAATTCTCTATTTTTTTATTGTTTTTTTTTTAAGTTTATATTGCGTTTTTTATGTCAAAACTAAGCATAAGAATATATACCAGGTTACTATAAGTTTTATTTTAATGTTTTTTCATGGATAACTTGACAGTTTAAAATTTAGTACAGGGTCGTTTTGAGGGTTGAAGAATCCAGTACCGTGCATAGATTTAAAAAAATCACTAATAGGTATATATGCCTTTTTTAGTTTTTTCAATTAAAAAATAAATTATACCTTTTAATCCTTTTAAATAATGCGATAAAACATTTATTGTAATCTCGAATATCTCGGAAACGGTTTATTTTATCGAAGTTTGAGAGGTACACCTTTTTAATGGTAGCCGAACTGTGTAATCGAAAAATTGCATAAAATGGTATAAAAACCTAACCTCAAAGTTTGTATGAGACAATAAGCTTAAAGCAACCCCCGTTTCTACGACACTGTGTTCACTCAAACAATTATAATTATGTATGTGTGAATATGTGTTTTGGTAGTAAGTGACTGTTCGCAAAATATCACCTTTTTAAGACTTCCATAGTAGAAGTTATATTAAAAAAACTAATTATTAAAACACTTTATCACCCTGTATCTTGGAAACCTTAGTAATTAGGAAAAATATTTATTTACGTTTTCGTCTCATTATTACTTGATTTAGGGACACCTTGTATATAAATTCTTAAAAATTTGCTTTTAAAAAATGACATAGTAGCCTTTTTCTTGCTCCAAAAATACAAATCCGGTTAAAATCGCACAATAAGTTTACAGGGGTGAGTCGCACAAGTTTTTTGAAATTGTGTTTAATATCTACAATTTTTGTACAAATTATTTGTATCAAAAATATCAATCAACATAAAAAAGAGGTTTAGGTATGTAAAAACAAAAAATCTCATCAAGACTGACACTTTTTTTAAATACTCAGCCATTTCATGATGACGGACGCTACCATTTGACCAAAATCTTGTCAAATATTTAAAAAAAAATGCCCAAAAACTAAAACTGATTTTAAAGCTAATATTAAAAATTGAAAGTGGAGATGAGGTAAAAAAAAATAACATATAAAATAATTATGTGACATTTAGGGATTCCAAGATTTTACTTTTTAAACTTAGATGACGGACGCTACAAAAAATGGAAGTGGAATAAATTTATTTTATGTTTCACCTGAATATTAGCAAATTGATAAGGGATTAAATTTAAACTTTATTATAATATATTAAGCATTGGACTAGATAAATATTTTTTATTTTTATTTTGTATTTAGTTTAATAGATAATATATAAGTACATGAAATATGTGATGATGGACGCTACATGACGGACGCTACAAAAGTTCCACCAAATTGCTAATCTTTTATTTTTCAATTTAATTCAAATAAACAACCAAAAACTTCACTAAACAAATAAATTCTACATTTAACAGTAAAATATGCCACTACTTAAATACAACACACGATTCGTAACAGTCTAACATCTTCAGTAGATGTAGTAAGTCCATGAATTATTGTGGGCTTCTCGTCACGCAACTTTTCGGGGATAGTTTGTAAAGCTAACTTCTGCACTACAATTTTTCTTTTACGAGGACTTCCTGGTAACATAATATTATTTTTAACTTTTTTTGAAGCTTTACCCAACGTTTGAGGACATCTGTAAGGACTATAAGACTGCTCAATATTTTGTCTCATTTGTTTAATGTTTGATGTAACGCCTCATTCTTTCAGTAACTTTTTTCTCAATTTTTCGTAAATGACTATCAAATTGCAACTTTTCTTTTTTTTTACTCTTTCAACTTTTTTATTTTCGGCATCTTTTTTTAAAAGTGCAATTCTTGTAATTTCGTCACTTTTATTTTTTTCTCGATAACGTTGCGCGGCAATTCTGTTTTGTTTAATGCGCTTCTCCTTTTGATCTGTAAAAAATATTCCACCGGCATAAAAATCTCTCGAAAAATCTTTAAACAAGGTTAGAATGAGCATTTGTGTGTTTTTAATTTAGTCTAATTTAACAGTAAAACAAGATAAATGAAAAATCTAAAAAAATATTACTTAAACATTTTTTGCTTACGGACGCTACAAAAAAGTTTAATTAAAAAAAAAGATAGATTCTTGAGATATCAAAAAAAGCTTAATATACTGACAAGAGGCAAAATGTGTGTTTTTAAAAATAAATAATTTAGTCAAAAATTATTTATCTTCATTAAGAAATATTAAGTATTACATCTTTTTGATGACGGACGCTACACTAACAACATAAAATAAATAAAGTTAATAAAAAAATACTACTTACTCATTTTGATTTACAAAATCGTCACCAAACACTCTGATAATTAATATTTTAATGAAATAAAATAATGACAGTTGTATAATAAATGACATAATCACTGAACAATAGCCTGCTAAATAACTTATGTTTTGATACATTTTGTTAGGATGCGTTCGCATTAAGTAAAATATTGTTTTAAGGGCCTAATAATGGAAAATATATTATTTTTATATTAGATATGTAAAATTTAGACTACGTGCACAATATTTCATATTAAAGGTATTGCATATAAACAATTTTAAATTGTGCTCCTTAGTTTCAAATTCTCCGGAATGGCTGTACTTTTTGTTTTCGTATTGTTGATCTTTTTTTAATTGTTTTTATCTCTGTTATTGTTAAAAAATTAAATTTTGTTAAAATTGTCAGTTATTTCTACAATTTTTGTGTTTTAACAAAATTATCAACAAACAAAGATAAATTTTTTTACATCAAAACAAAAGGTCGATAATTTAAAAACAAAAGCTCAAATAAAAATACCTACTTATGTAGGTTTTAGTTTTGAGATATATTCTACAACCTCTTTTACGTTGTACATTTGGAGTAAAAACACCCTGTATATTTAAATCGGTGCATAAAACCGGATTTAAACTGTAACACCATTTTACTTACCGACTATTTGCATCCCAAGTATTGCCACATAAAAAATCCAGTCTCTCTTCTTCATTTTGAAATTATTAGTTTGTTTTTTTATAAAAATTGGCTGTCGAAATCTAAAAATAAAAATAGGGTTTCTTGGGCAAATACATAAATACAATATTAAAATGTGCTAAGCATTTAAATTTAGTATGTCACCTATAATAATAATAAATTGCAATTAGCAAATAAAGAAGATAATAATATATTTTTATGACTCACATTAATGTAGCAATTTATAATAAAGCTAACTTCAGCCCACGAAAAAACTAAAAATACATTTATCTATTCCTACATTGACGAGTTGTGCCTTTATGGCATTTTAGTCACGGGCTGAAGTTAATAACAGTGGCTTTTGGGCATTTTAGTCACGGGCTGAAGTTGGCTTTATTATAAATTGCGAAAAAGTAAGGTTAAATTTGTTAAATGTCAAATTTTATGAAATAAAATTGTCTTTAAATTCTTATTTCTGTTCGTCGTAGATAAAGTATAGTATGCAACTCGTTTTATAAACTTCTCTAGACACTCGTTTTTATTAAACACTCGCTCGCAAGCTTCGCTCGTGCCTAATAAAACTCGTAACTAAAATGGCGTTTATAAAACTTGATACATAATATACTATTATCTACTCCTACATTGACGAGCTGTGACTTTAAGGCGTTTTAGTCACGGGCTGAAGTTAGTAATAGTGACTTTTGGACATTTTATTCACGGGCTGAAGTTAGCTTTACTATAAATTAGAGAAAAGTGAGGTTAATTCCGTTTACATTTGACAGATGTCAAATGTTTAACAAATAAAATTGGATTTAAATTCTTCTTTGTGGTCGTCGTAGATAAAGTATAGTATGCAACTCGTTTTATAAACTTATCTAGACAATCGTTTTTATTAAACACTCGCTTGCAAGCTTCGCTCGTGCTTAATAAAACTCGTAACTAAAAGGCGTTTATAAAACTTGATACATAATATACTATTAAAACTTATTCATAACCTTTATGGCACAAAGTATTTAAAACAAATGCTTATTTGATTTTTACTATATAATTATATAAGTTATTACGTAAACCCCATCTAAAAATGCAAAATTATCTACTTTCCTATATTAAATAGGTAGGTACCTAAAAAGTTAATAAATTTCAAAAAAGCTTTTATAGATAATTAGTAGGATATTATTTTAGGGTTAAGAAATCGTGTAATCATAGTTTTTTTATAATGAAACATAGTTACCTCATAAAAAATATGATTTTAAACAAACGCAAATAAAATTCACAACTCGCGTGTTCCTAAACGGCAATTTGATTTATTATCTATGATTTGATTTAAATAAAAAATCATTTGATTGATTTTTAACGAAACATTTCACCAAATAACTATGACAAACTCATTCAACTTAACAGTTTTAGTAAAAATTAATAAAAATCATTAAATACCGAATAATTAATCGAAAAACTAAAGAAGAATTACCGTCACCGAAAACGTTGAACTAGCAAAAAAAAATGTCTAGAACTTGTTTTTAAGTTTTTTTAGTAAAAATCATAGATCATTAACCAAAGGAAAATATCGATGTATGAAGGTAAAATAAATAAAAACGTATTACAAATACTATTTATGATGTGGATTTTGTTGTTTTTTTGTAAATTTTGATAAACAAATACCTATATCAGTGGCGTTCCCAGTATTTGGCATTGAATGGCAAATTCTTACTTTTTGAAAATAACTACCTACATATGGGCCATTCCACGCTTAACGGATAGGACAGTTGCCGTGTTTTTATTTACAAAATAATATTCTATTATATTACCAATGTCAAATTTTTATAAATAGTTCTAAACAAAAGCTGTTTAACAAGGTTTTTATTTGGCAAAATTAGGTATCGTGATTGACTGTTTTAAAGTTATAAAGTTATAATTGTTTATATATATTACAAATTCCCGTCCGTTACGCTTTAAATTATTAGTTTTTAAGGAATTAAACAGTCAACCACGATACCTAATTTTGCTAAATAAAAACCTTGTTAAACAGCTTTAGTTTAGAACTATTTATAAAAATTTGACATTGGTAATATAATAGAACAAAATTATTTTGTAAATAAAAACACGGCAACTGTCCTATCCGTTACGCGTGGAATGGCTTATAATATGTACCGTTTAATATTTTTACTAATACCTACCATCAAACGGGTCAAATAGAAACAAATTTACAGGATTAAAATAAGCGGATTTTCCAATTTTACTATTATAGTAAAATACAATTTTTTTTTAAACTTTTTTGTTTAACATGCTTTCGACATTTCGAAATACCTACCTAATTCTTTTTTCGATACATTTTATAACCTTGGTAGGTATACAAAATAATGCAGAACCAAACAAAAATTAAAGTGCTGAAGCCGTTTTTAATATGGCAGATTGTTAGAGGCCTTGCAAAGCCCGTCAGATTTAGGGAACAGTAGATTATTTAATAATCATTAAATTAATTAAAAATAAATAAAAAAAATCGTAAAATTGTAAATTAAAAAAAAAAATTTCTACGCCATAACATTATGCATTAAGTCGCCATTTTAAACATTTGATTGGTAAGAATTGTCGAGCAATAGAACTTCCTATCCCCCCACTTTTTTAACAGTGTTGCCAAACGTTTTCGCTTAAAAGGAAATGCACTTTAGCTAGGACACATTTGTGAGGTTTATTTATTGCAAACAATATATCTTATCTTCAAGCGTTCTATAATTTAATAATTTATTATGCTCAACATGCACTGCTAAAGGAATTAATTATTGTGTAGATTGTAAAAATAATTTGGACCAATCGGGTAAAGTTTTTTTAACGTCCTAGAATGTAAAAAACTGTCAGATCTACCTAACCTCACTTTCTAGTTTCAATAATTATTATTATAGTACTTGTACGTTTTATGTATCCTTTAACAAATATAATTGTGCCTTGACATTTTTTCATAGCGACTAACATCGTGCCAGAACCTATAGAACCGATAGATACCTATAATAATTATTATAGATACCTATAAGAATTGTTAATAAATATTATATAATTTAAATTAATAAATAACAAATATTTTTAATAAACCTTACAGTTGTTCCCTACAATATTATCCAAATTAAAAGGAGTAAAAGTGCATTCGATTTAAACTGAAAACGTTTGGCAACATTGTTAAAAAAGAAGGGGATAGGCAAACTATACCACTGGTATCAAAGTTACGACCTACGTTCCATTGCTCGACAATACTACCAATAAAATTTTTGAAATGGTGACTTGATATAACATTTTATGGTGTGGAACAATTTTATTTTTGATTTTTCGTTTGGCACCAAAATTAGTTTTTTTAATAATTTTTATTCCTACTTTGATTAATTCTAGTTGGCAAAAATGGCCATTTTTTTTAATTATTAATTATTGTTGCACTCCCACTAAATCTGACAATACATTTTTTTTTATTAAATTAAAATAAAAAAATTAGCCTGCATTATTTTTATACTACAATTTTATTTATAATTCATTTTATGGATGGAAAAAAATACTTACGAATGCAAAAAATAGAATTTAAAGAACCCCAGTTTTAACGACATCTAAAAATCTGGTGGAAGATCGAGATAATTTAAATGCGCTAATAATGATAAGTTTTATAAACGACATTTTAGTCACAGGTTCTAATTAGGCACAGGTGTTTAATGAACAAGTGTTTAAAGAAGTTCATAAAACGTGTTGCACACACACCTTTTCTACGACAAACACAAAAATTAAATGAATGTTCTAACCTCACTCTTTTAACGATTGTATGACAATTTGCAAATGCAATTAACTTTAGCCCGTGACTAAAACACCATAAGGTCGCAACTTGTTAATGTGTGTTTTAAAAGTAGTATGTATTTGTCAAACATTACTTACATAAACCGTACAATTATATTTATTAAAAGTGAGGTTAAATTAGATCTGTCAGTAGTCGATTTTTTTTGTAGCCCGAGCTCAGCTTAATTAGCATCACCCTGCCCGAGCTAAAGTTAATTAGCATCAGTAAACATCAGCCCGTGACCATAAAGTCACAGCCTGTCAATGAGGGAAGATACCTTAAAAGGTGGATACAATCATTTAAATCATACCTAAATAATTTGGGATAAATCAGCCTATGTATAGGTACCTAATCAAAACTTTAAAAATGGGCTAAAGGTGAACAAAAAAATGGGGTCGAATTTAAGCGCATATTATAACGTATTATGTAGGTTATGTCGAAAAACACGTAAAAACTTTAAATATAATGGTCAAAATAACAAATAAAAGGTGCTGTTTTTCAATCGGAGCATTCTTTAATTTCTTTTCACGCAAAATAAACTTTGTAACACCTATAAGCCACGCCATTTTTTTGTTCTCTTTTGATACACTCTAGTGAAGTGTCACTTCACTAGAGTGTATCAAAAGAGAACAAAAAAATGGCGTGGCTTATAGGTGTTACAAAGTTTATTTTGCGTGAAAAGAAATTAAAGAATGCTCCGATTGAAAAACAGCACCTTTTATTTGTTATTTTCAGAAGTGACGAATAGATCACAGAACATAATATGTTAAGCATCCATTGTCATTAATTGTTTATTCCTTAAGAAACAAAAATAAATACAATAAACCCGGGGACGTGATGTTTTTAAGAAACAATTGTTACGTTTTGAAGTCAATAATATCTTATTAGAGTTAAATATTGCAGACCAATAGGTATAACATTGCTAAACCGGCTTAAAATAATATTTGAAAGTACATATTCATCAATACACCAACTGCAAAATAAATAAAAGCAAAATAACAAACCTACCTATCTACGTTAAAAATAATTAAATGAAAATATTTTGTCGATGACTGATTTGTCAAACCTAATAGGTGGGTACTAGGCAAAAACATTAAAAAATAAATAAACAACTAGATAATAAAAGCATTACATTTTCATTATTTCATTAAACCACGTGGAAGTTTCCAGAACGATTTTTAATGGCAAAAATTGTATAATTCAACATACCTACAATCCGCAGTTTCGTACATTCAATAATTTAATTATAAACATACATACCTAATCGTGTGTGACTCATTTAATAATAATAAAAAGTAATGACAACAATTATTTATCGATTAATTTAAAAAAATAAAATAAAACTTACCAGAGCAACCTGTCTAAATTCACACTTTTCAGAAATGGACTAGATTAAGAGGGGGGAGCAGGTCTTATTTGGCGCGAGATGCACTGGCGATGCATCGCGAATGTAAACATCGCAGTGTTGCCAGATCGGTAAATTTAGTTCAATTGTTTTTTAGGATAATACTTTGAATTGCAGATAAATTGGTAGAATATAATGCTTTATGTCTACATTGTGTTCGGGTAAGAATAACTGTTGTTTTCTAAAGAAAAAAAATTAAGCATTCCAAATTTGCGGATACTAGACGGGGTTATAGAAATAATCTCTCTTTCTGTAGACAGGGTACATACGCACATAAAAATAAAGATTTTAATTTTATAAAAACATTAAATCTACCAACAACTTGTTGGTAGATTTGGCAACAAGAAACATCATGACTAAAAATCAAAACCATGGAGCCTACACAAGGAGTCCGAACTTTATCTGTATATAAACATTGATATAAATATATAATAGGGCGCTGGTGTTCTGCTGATTGTTTGATTTTTACCAGGTGTCTACAAGCCCAGGTAGCACAAGGTGACGAAACCGTGACGATTTGTGTCAAATTGGACACAATGGACACAAATCTTGGATTTCTACCGAAACGCTAAAAAACAGCAGACATCAGTACGCATCGACAATCAGCGCCGCTGGTGGTGAAAAAACAAGACTTAATTTGTTCAATTTAGTGGGCAGGTTTTGTCAATTTCCCCTATTAAGTTCGGACTCCTTGTGTAGGCTCCATGATCAAAACATTTGAAGGTCAAATTTTGACTTTTGATAACAATTCGACTACTGTTCTATCTAAACCAAACGAAAGGTATTTTGATCTTTTATTAAGGTAGTATCTTCATTTGAAGGGTTTGAATCCAACCATAGGGTTTGATTCAAACGTTTGATAAATAAAGCAAATTCAGCGGTGCCAATGTAGTAAAAATAAAACTTTGTATTTTAAGTAAAAAAATGCCACTTTATTAAAAATTAAATTATCATAAAAAAACTAATAAAATAAAAAGTAATTAATCAACAGTATAAATTGTTAATTTGTTGTTATAATGGCAAAATTAAGGTTTAAAAACTCATATTTTTGTGTTTTTTAAGTTGGCAGCACAAAATTTAAAATGTTAATATTAAAAAGTTTTTTGAGATTGCCATTTCCATTCTTTTTCTATGATTTCCATAATTTTAAAATTTGGTTGGATGTTGTAAGATATTTGGTACTATATTGTCAAAATATTTTTCTATGAAACCTCCCATATATTTTGATATCATTTGTATTATATATCTATTCAAAAAGAATACTTAAAAAATATATAGGATTTCACTAACAGCATGTTAAGGATGTTGCTAACATCATGTTAGATTAAATAAAAACAAAAAAAATAACTTTAAAATCGGTATTTTCCATATAGTACCAATAGCAAATATAAATATTAAACTTTAGAAGGGTCAGTTATTTTCCTCACTAACTCTATTCAAACGATATTGTAAAAAAAATGCTTTGGTTCCTAATATGGGAACCCACTCTATTATATGTACAACGGGATTACAATAATAGCCAAAATCTAATACAAAAATATTTATTGTCAAATAAACTTAAAAAAACATAACATAACCATTCTTATCTGTATTATCCATAGTGTAAGGCAAGAACACTAAATTACAATACAGAGTTTTTGGTCTAAGGTAATACATAGAAACAAATCTATAACAAACAAAACTTAGTACTTTGGTCAAACTTACATGCTAAATTAACAACAAAAAACGAATAATATAATACTTTTATAGGGCAAGAACACTATATTACAATACTGAGTTCTTAAGGTTAATACATTTAAAAAAATGTAGGTACCTATAACAAACAAAACTTAGTATTTTGGTCAAACTTACAGGCTACATTGACAAAAAATACGAATAATATAATACTTTTATAAGGCAAAAATACTATATTACAATACAGAGTTCTTGGTCAAACTTACATGCTAAATTAACAACAAAAAAAACAAATAATATAATACTTAAACTCTAAAGTTCACAGGCAGATGGCTATCTTTGTGGGAAATTCCTCCTGAAATAAATCAAATCATTAACTACAACTTGTTTAATTAAAAATAAAATAAAATGTAACCTTAATTAAAATAGTAGATTATGTCAGAAAGAGGAGAATTTTTGGGATTTCTAAATTACTCCTATCAGGTTGAACATCTTTGTAAAAAATTAAGTCAAGTTTCTTACTTTATACGTAAACTAAATTCATATGTTGAAAAAACTACCTTAAAATCAGTTTATTTTGCCTGCTTTCAATCTTTGTTGCGATATGGAATAATTTTTTGGGGGCGTTGTGCAATAGGTAGTTGAAAGGGTTTTTGTTATACAGAAAATAACAGTGCGAGTTTTGTGTAATCTTAAATACAAAGACACATGTAAAAGGGTATTTAAAACCAACGGTTTATTGACATTAACTGGAATCTATATCTATGAACTCCTAATTTTTATGTTTAAGAATAAATATAAGTTTAAGTACCTGAAGTCTAAAAGTAACAGAACTTTAGATTATATTTATTCTAGTCATCGTTTAAGTAGCTATGAGAAGTCTTGTTTTTATTCGTGTATTAAGTGTTATAACAAATTTTCTAATGAGATTAAATCATTAAATATTATTGGCCTTTTAAAAAAAAACATGTGTATCAATACTTGTCGATTGAACCCTATACTTTTAATGAGTTTTTACTATACTAATGTCACTTTTATTTTCATTAATTTATTTTGACACATATTTCTTTTAATTGTTGTATATTTATCTGTAGTAAGTGTATTATTATTATTATTATTTATAAATTGTAATTTAGAAAAACCAGAAGTGACAAAAATATGTTAAATATGTCAAAAAGTTCTAAATTACACTATATAAAGGTCATCCCAGTTTCATGAACCTAGATAAAATACCAAAAGTTTGCTATGAACCATAAATTTACTAGAAAATGGTATATTCATTAAAAAATTACAATTCCGAAACGACGAATTTAGCCAATTTGAGACTTTTGGTAAAAGTTTTTTATATTATCAAAAAAAAAAAAAAAATGAAGTAAAGAAAATGTGGCAATGTCAAAATTTTGACCTCAATTTTTTTTGCCTTTTTTAGAAAAAACAATTTTGAAAAAATTGTGTTAATTTTTTATATATTTAATTGAATGTAATAAATATTTACCTACAATTTAAAAAAAGATTGTAACGAAACAATTTTGGTCAAGTTATCGCATTTTCAAAAAAAAATGTTACTCGTAAAAAAAATTTCCTACGTAATTTTTATTGGGAATACGTTTTTTATTTGGGTTTGTTATTTGTTAATGTTTTTAATTTGTGTTTAAATGAATATAATTAATAGTATCATATACGGCTAAATTACAAATTTTATTTAGGAATTTAGGAGGTTTTTTGTAAAATTTTAGGAGAAATAAAGTGTGGAAATGAATTTCTTTAATTAAATAAAAACAACTCTTTACTACTTAAAAAATAAGAAAAAAGTTATATTGACTAGTTTTTTAGCCAAATCGCTCGACGAGTTTTTTTTTAATAAGACTAAAAGTGAGGTAAAATTACTACTTTTGTATATATCTGAAGTACATATATATATAAGTATAAATTTCAGCACACTTTTAATTTTATTTAAAAAAATGCGTCGATAGATTTCGCTAAAAAACTAGGCCAAAATCAAATGATGTTATAATTATATTTTAAGAAAAAATATGTTAACCGTTTAGTTAAAAAGTAACAGTAATTGAATCGGTAAGATTAAGAATAGTACAAGTCCAAAAGTAAAATGCACTTTTGGACATATTTTAACTATATTATGAAATATAATATTCATACTCTGTAAAATAATTTATATCTTCTCACAAAAATGTATTTTAAATTTTAAAATTAATTTAAGAAAATAAATTGTCAAAATTAAATTTGTGGACTTGTAATGTTCCTATTCTCGCCGATTCAATTGTAATGTGGATCTTAATACTTAAAAATCTCATAACAAAATAGAAGTTTGCAAAATACAGCAAAACATTCTTTAGATTGTTTACTATTTTAGCTGTCATTTAAAAGAAAATTAAAAATCCTTTTGTTTGATATATAACACGGTATATTTTTGTCTAAAACAAACGAAATATAAGTAGAAGTTTTTTTGTTGCTTTTTTAAGAAAAATTTTGGTTGTGATATATCATTTTAAAAAGAATTTAATAAAATAGAACCTAAAAATATATATTTTTACATTACTTTTTAAAAAAGAATTTTTTAGCGCGACAACTACCTTAATTAAACGCAGTCAGGTTGGCCTATTTAAATTTAATTTTTAGGATTTAAGGAGTTTTAGAAGATTGAATGCAATTTTAGGAGAATTTTAGGAGTTTTCAAAATTTAAGTCAAATTTTAGGAATTTTATGAGTTTTAGGAGGTTTGGGAGCCCTGCCTACATTTTCTATTGAAGGGGGTTTTCGCCCCGCGAGTTAATAAAATAATAAAAATATATTTTTTTATAAAAAATACCTTTTCACAAAAAGCTTTCTGGTAAAGCTCAAGCATCGTTTGTATCCTCGTAAACAGTCGGCAATCCAGGCGCATACCCCTTAATCGCAGGCGGCTTTGACGAACAAGAACACCTGGGCCAAGACATGGGGCACGCGGGCAAAGTTGACCTGGCCATGTTGCCATGCTTAATGTCGCTCATTTTAATCTTTGACACGGATGCCGATTTGTCGTCGGAAATGCAACACAGTTGGTCACGTTCCGACAAATTGACAACTGATATATTTTGTTGAATGTTTTCAACGGTTTCCTGTGGCCCATTTATGATTATTACGTTCGGAAAGACTTCGAATGCCGGACTCAAAAGAGGCACTACTTCCTTATCCCTCCATCTTAGGGAGGTGCCTTTTTTTTGATTCGCCTTCCTTTTATTCCTCTCCAGGGTGTTGTTAACTTTGGTCTGTAGTATACCTTTTGGTACACGTTGTGTAGGCGGGACATTCGTAACGTTACATG